GGACACTATGCCTCTCCCGGAGGTTAGGGACATCTTCGAGCCCTTCGATCTGAATACGGAAGAACTGGCATTCAGCACTGTGATTCCGAAGTTCACGGTAGAAGAKYTTCTGAAGGCTACCAWAAAGATGTCTTCGGGGAAAGCAGGTGGTCCTTCAGGTATCCCAAATGAAATACTCGAGAGGATCCCACAAATCCACCCTGTGTCTACTCTGGAAGTATACAATACGTGCCTCACTTCGCTCACTTTTCCAGATCGACCCGAGAAGACATCGATCATTGTTTATTGCACTTATAATTTATGTAAGGGGATAAGCAAGGAAAAAACCATGCTTATCCCTATTCAAGTTGTTAAATAAGGTTGTCACGGTAGGATTTGATGATAAGAAAAAAAATGGCAGCGTAAAGGGAGTCAATAATAATCAAACTTATAAGCGCTGGAATTTTTAGCCAGCCGCAGCAAATTTTTTATGATAAGAAAAAATTGATATATTTTGTAATTTGTAATATCCCTTTACGCAGCATTTTAAATTTGATGATAATAATCGTTGTCAATACCCAATAACCTTAGATCATATAGTATGGATGGAGCCACAGCTAATACCATCAATACAAAAAAAATGTTGCCAATATTAGCGATGAGTCTCTGAATAAGTGTTCGTTATGCGCATGTGCGATACAATTCGACGCTTATTATTTTATCCTTATGTTATACTGTTATATTTTGACTTTGTGTACGTCCTATAGATAATTATGCAACGAAATGAATCACGTCTGCGCATATAGAATCACACATTCACACATGCTCAAACACCTAATACAGAAACTTGTCACTAACATCGGAATCACAATAATACGCTGTAGCTTCATCCATAATATATTTAACCATGAATAAAACTGTTTTTTTTTCAAAGGAAGAGCAATTTGAAACCTGAAATCTGAAATCTGCTGATAGTATTCCTTTATTTATGACTGCTAGTGAGTTATCACTATTAAATAATGCGCAACATGTAATATAGTTGCTAATGGTACTTTTTATAGCCACCTAAACAATTCCTATAAAAGTATACGGTAGGTACATATTATATGCATAAATGGATTTTATCTACCAGTTCTATATGTTTTTATGGAACCAAAATCTCAACAATCTTATATTGACGGATAATTAAAAATAAAATAAATATTTTTTTTTAATTCCATGAAAAAGCTATACACATCCAAAATCATTTACACTTTGAGAAAGCGGACCATAATACCTATATTAGAATTTTTCAAAAAATGTTTGAWATCAGGTTGTCATTTTTATTTGAGTCAAGGCTAGTTAGTTCTGTAAAATACAAAGTAACAAAAAATAATGTATGCATCACATRGAAAACCTCGAYGTCTACAAATGGCTTAAAAGTTGTTTGATCATAGTTGTGTATAGTATTATATCGTCTAAAGGAGAAAGCCATGGTTTTGTAACTCTAATGGTATATCGCCAAGAGTTTAAAGTTGAAAATAATATAATGAATTATTCTTATAACGTTGATTCAAGTTTTGTCAGAAAAATATGAATATCTTAAAGTAGTATGAAAAAATAAAATGATGAAAATATTAATTATAATTATCATTTTTCGGATACTATTTACAGCCAACTTCCACGCTGTGTATACTCAGCAGTGTTGAGCATAATAAGATAAATTTATCTAGATGAATTATCTAGATAAATAATTAATCATTTCTTATCTTATCTAGATAAATTTAAAAATGTTCATATGATGTGCCATCTTAGATAAATAATCTCATCATCTTAACCAAATTATCTAGATAAAAAAATGTCAAATACATATATTTTTTTTAATACAATTAATTCAAGAAGAAATAAAAATTGAGAACCACTAGATAAAAACAAAATAATAGATACGAAGTACAATAATCGTACATATCGTACAATTATTATTGTTATGTTTTTTGAGTCATAAATTATGACTATGAACACTGAACAGGCAATGTTATGCAATGTGCTCAGTAGTCAGTACAGTCGTGCACACATACATACATACATACATACATGAATACATACATACATACATACATACATACATACATACATACATACATACACATATGTATAAATGTTATCGCATTATGTTATTTTGATAGCCGGTAGAAAGTATTTTTATACATATTTTAAAAATAGCCGGTATTTCAAATAATATTATGGAAACGGAGACACCATCGTCTATTCGTCTCTAAACCTCTAAACCGTCTCTAAATCACAATTAAATGCCATATAAATTAAATATATATTATTATTTATTATACCATTAATTATACCTACCATTATAACTTGTGTTCCAGTAGCTTAGTCATAACTCATAACTCATCAATTTTAAAGCATTAAGTACTAAATTTGTACTATTTATAAAATATTCCCCATTGTCCATTTTCCACCACAGAAAAAAAATTGGTTTCCATTTTCCTCCACATTATTTTCGACATCAAGTATTTCTATTTTCCCCCAACATTTTAGCAAGCGTATGATGGAGCAAGGCTAGGATCATATTTTGCGCTTAACGGTTGATGATTACATTCTGNTATTTATATTAACTATTTTACTATTTTATTTATTGGAGGAAAATGATCAAGAATTATTTTTATTTTATTGGAGAAAATTGTTATGGTCGAATTTTGATGTGTATTTAAACGTGTGTTTCCAATCGTTCTCCCAAATCCCAGTTAAAAATATTATTTTGTGCCCAAATGTGTTACGGGCAAAAAACAGAAAAGTTATTTGCGCAGGGTCTATATTTACTACTCGTACTGAAAATAAAAAATCACTCAGTTGTATCAAGATAACTAGATAAGCTTTAAAAAATAAAGTTAATACTTTCTTAGTCATATAGAGTAGTTTTATATTTACGTATATATTATTAGAGTATGATTGTAATTATTAGGAAAATGCACGATTAAAGATATAATATTAAACCATGGGAAAATATAAAATCAAATAATAATAAATAGCATGGTTCATAGGGGGGAGGAGTGCTTCAGCCCGACAGCATCTCCTGTGCATACACCACTGCGGTGAGTAGTGACCGGATGACTGGAAGGATGTCCACAAAGTCATAATATGACTATAACTTCAAAATAAAAATATCATTGATTTTTGGCAAGTGGCGTCGGTTGACGGATTTAACAATATTTTCAGCAGTGCTGGTGATACATATGACCTTTCGATACATCTAATKTCGARACTAAGATATTCCTTATCTTATAAGTATGATATCCGAATATCTTATATTATAGGCGGGCTTGAAACCGATTGAAAAAATTTTGATTTCGKTTTCGATTTTGGATACCGGTTTCTAAATTTTTCGGTTTCAGTTTCAATTTTTTAACATCGGTATTACAAAATTTCGGTTTCGGTTTCGATTTTGGATATCGGTTTCTAAAATTTCCGATTTCGGTTTCAATTTCTCAATATCGGTATTACGAAATTTCGGTTTCGGTTTCGGTTTCGATTTTGGATACCGGTTTTGAAATTTTACGATTTCGGTTTCAACTTTCCAATATCAATATTAGGAAATTATGGTTTTGATTTCGGTTTTATATGCTGGTTTCTACATTTTTAAAAACGGATTTAAATCAGACTTTAAATTATAATTATAAATAGTTTTATTATACTTAAATAGTTAAATACTTAATAAGATTTTTTAATTTTCGATAAAAATTAAGAACAATCTTTCAATAGGAGTGATTTTGTAATTTTATACTACAAATTACAAGCTTTAAGGAACC